AACCATTAAGTTGCAATGTGAACACCAATTAAAGTGACTGAACATCACATGAACTATGTTTTGAAGTTAATTCGTTGAAAGATATACGGCAAATCTGTCTTCGGAACACTTAAGATATGCCTTACTGATGAGTGTCAACCAAAAACGGAACCTGAGTTCAGTGTTTCCTAAAAACTTCTTACAACCACCTAACGTGACTAAACATATTTTATCTCTAATTTCTTAGCAGTTTACTCCCTGTAAACGTAAACTGATCATACGGCATTATGTAAGAAAAGATGTTTGGATTTGTATTTTCACTGATATACTTTGAGGATATTTAGCACTGGTTCATAATTAAGTAACCACACTATTTGAAATAATGATAGACTGACGGGTACATTGTGTTAATTTGGCTAGATTGTGAGACTAATTGGATTGATTACTATTCATTTGGACCTTATCGAAAAATGTAAGACCACGAATTGATGTCATCAAGTTTCATGAATGAAAACTGATAATCACCTATCAGATCCACTAATACACCGTAACCAAATTTTAAAAAATCATAAATCTCCACTTGTGGTTCAAGATGCAAACGAAATCGGACAAGCAGTGATTACTTTCATTCGTAAGCAAAACTACATACTGAGATAAAACGGTTGTTCAGTACTTTCCAGTTCTTAATAATTGTCTAACTAAAATCAGTCAGTGATAGAAACTACGGAATTTCAACAATATTCATAAACTGTTAAACCACTAATAATTATGACTAACTTCGATAGGTAGGAAGCCATGACTAGTGGCGATCAACAACATTGGGTGTGAGACAGTTCCTGGTCGAAGACAGTAAATAATGATTGTATTATTACGAGAATTAACTAAAGTTAAACATAAGCACTTTTCAATCATATATATACTGAATAAAAATTACCAAACAAACCAGAATGGCTGTTAGGGTCATGAAAGAATCACAGATTACACATGCTTTTTTTGAGTTCGGGCTTCAACTGTTGAATTCCTAAAGCCTCTCTGGAGCAAAACTTTTCATTTTCCTTGTCCTTGATCCACGCATTTGGCTGTGTAGATTAATTTTAAAAAAGTTCAGGTGGATCAACGTGTCCAAAATCGATAGTATGTTCTTTTACTGAGCTGTTAATCGATTTACACTCTCCTTCTAAAATTCACAATGGATAATGTTCTATGAGGGGTTTATAAGTATCTTTTTTGTTAGACCAATTAACCCCTTCTCCATACGAGCAGCTTAGTATAAATTTCTATATCGATCTACTAATATTAAACTAAATATGCTAAATGTGTAAGAGTTGTTGTCGAGATCATCAATCGATCAATATTACACCACCACTAAAAGTCGGAAAGCATTGAACGACCGTGTTGTTCTAGTATGGAACCCCTCAGCAGTACGTATCTACGATCCCGCACACATGATTCAAACCCAGGATCTTCGGCCTCACTCGAACGCTTAATTTATAGACCATTGAGACGGCATACAACGATATTCCTATCTAACTTCAACCAGTCCATGTTATGAGAGTTTTATTGTTGTTATTTTCGTTGTAATCGTCGTTAATCCGACAATTCTGATAATAACAAAAGCCCATTATAGTTGCAGCTGATCCTGAGAAGAATTTTCTCATATACCTTAAATATATTTCAAATAAGTTTCACCAGTGGTAGACAACATAAGACTGAGCACAAATACATAGTTGTTCAGATTATCATATCACACAATAGTACAGTAAAATAGCAAATAAATAATTCAAGGGACGAATAAAAAACCCAACTAGAACACAACTCATATGTTTACATTTTTATTCAGTGATCTAAGTGGATCAATGGGAGAGGATAAACCAACTTCCAGCTGACGAGGAAATTTAGGAAAAGACATTGGAAGTGGATAAAACATTCATTACGGATACCATCAAAGTGCAGCACGAGACAAGCGCTAACTTGGAATCCTGAAAGGAAACAGAAAAGTGGAAGGCCAAAGAACACACTGCGTTGAGATTTGTAAGCCGACATGAAAAGTGTGGATAAGAACTGAAAAGAACTGGAAAGGCTTTCCCAGGACAGGGTTGGATGGATGGTGGGTGGCCTATGCTCTTCATTTGAATCTTTTAATACTTCACATAATTTGTTTTATCTTAGTATAGAAATCTTTGGTAGATTGTACCCATCAAGTAACAAGTAATCAACTTAAAAGATTTAGGCTTTAAGATGAATGAGTAACTGTCAAAACCACAATGTTAGGATCATATAATTTATAATTATAACTACAGTCGATTCATAATATATCATGAAATTGTTCAATATTTAGCAGAAGAGTCCCAAATAGAACGAAACACATGTCTTAGATTCCTCTGCTAACTATCTATAATCCATATCTACTTCAAATGCTTTCGATTTATTGGTAATATCAAGGCAATCTGAACAGGATATAAAGATGACAATTGCAGTCTTCAACATCAATGGAACGATCCAAATAACTAATGTATGAATTAAAAATTAAAGTTTGTAAAAGTGAGTAACGTTATTGATTTACGTAAAAAACGTGATAAATGTTTCTTTTATTTACTAACAACAAATAGAGAAGAATGAATTGAGAAGTAAGATATATTAAACAGCTGATCTGATAGGACTAAAACATCAGTGTTTTGGAACAGTAAATGCTGCACAGGACGTAGCAGTTATGAACTAGTATTTCCTTCACAGAAGGATTGAAAAGTCATCTTTGTGAACAAATAAATAATGTAGCGAAGGGAGATTTCAGTCCCATTATAAGATACTAGATGGAAGCACTATATAGAATGATCATCACCTTGTATCATGATCTACCTATTATACAATTCATTACCTACTCGATTACATTACTCATTTAGTTTGAATAACACTGAGATTTAACTACATTCACCTTATAATGGGTAGTAGAATAATCTGTAATTCAATGTGGCGTCTTGTAAAATGATCTATTTCCGTTTATAACCTGTTTGTAGTTCCAAGTGGAAACAATATTATTATTATTATTATTATTATTATTATTATTATTATTATTATTATTATTCCTTTTAACAAGTATTCATTTTTAATTGACCTAATTTCGCAATTTATGATTAATAAACTCATTAATTGGGATTAAATCAGTAAAATTTCCCGTTCATTCACTACATTAATCAGTAATTCAGCGATACATACATAATATAGCTATCTGGAAGATATAGAAATATTAATATGAATGAGAAATAGACACTAAGAAAATGAAATTTAGAATAAATATCATAAGATAATCCGGAAATCTATCAATAAGAATGTTAATGAAATAAATTTTACAAATTAGGAAATTACTTGTTACTTTTTAGAAGTAATCAATGAATGATAAATCTAGGTTTTATGTTGAATTACTTACGATTAATTGGTAACTCAGTAGTGACTAATGTCATGTATGTTAAGTCGTTTTTTAATCCTGATCGAATTTAAACGATCATGTTGCAATGTGGCCACTAGTCTAATTGATCCAATAACGTGTGTACTGTATTGAGAAGTATAGTGGTGATTAGGGGTAGTCGACAGACAATTCTGCTTAACTTAGGTTTTGTTCTGTTTGCTACTCATCAGCAAGGTGTGCCTGTTTCCTGCTTATTACGTCCAACCACCAAATTTCATGTTCAGTTGTTGATGGGATTTGTAGGTTGTACTCGTTACAGACAGATATTATTCAAACGGGTAGTAAGTTACTTTGAAATGTTCCCGAAATTTTAGTAAAACAATGTGACCGATGAAGCTGAGACAATTCATGAATGGATGAGTTATCACTAAGGGGATTTTATGGTCATTGAGCCATGTAAAAATCTGACTGAAGCTTGAACTGTACTATTAGAACTCTGTCCAATGATTCTAATGATAGAGTTGGTTGCGAGATTTGAAGATTCTGGGTTTAATCCTTAACTGGATAATAGGTTCGCATTACTGAAAAGTTCAATACTAGGCCGAAATAGATGTCAATTGCTACCCAATTTACAATTTCACCTTGAATGAGATAATTCTTTGATAAATATTACCTACAGATTTAACAGGCCTTTACAAAACTACTTCAGTGAAATTATTTATGAAATTATTTTTATGTTAATGCCAATATTATTCAAACCGTAACTATCTATTTTTTACGTGACCACGTCATCAACTGACAATTGGTTTTATTGACTGATGACAAATTATTGATCAATAAATGAGTAAACAACCTGATTCAACTCATCAATTAGTAAGTGATAATTTTCACATGACGATGGTTACTACCCTAGTGTAACAATTATTATCACCATATTTGGATAGTACAAATCGATAGTATTTCAGTTGATTATCATGAACTTCTGTATTTATTTTAGAAGCACATGATTTGGAAGACACAGATTGTATACTAAAATCATACTGTATATAATCGCTGACTTAATTCATCCAGTAATAAAATTTAGAACTTCCAGTTAATTCACATAACAACTCAATGATAAAATAATGCTTGTAAATTAAGGCAATATCGAGGCAATACGCACAGTATGTACATATGTCAATAAAAGACTGATCAATTACAGTTTTAAACATCAATCGTAAGATTCAGGTAAAACAATACCAAGTGAATTAAACTTCATCCCATTGCACAAGCAACTGGTTATCAGGACTCAGTAGTGAAGTGGATAACGCGATGGCGCTTGAAGCGAACGATGCTGGGTTCGAGTGCTGGAGTGAACATCAACTCTGGGATGTAAGTACACCTAGATGACGAGTCCCAAATAAGACGAAACGCTCGTCCTGTATTCCACTGCTATCCACTATTCATCTTTGCTTATCAATGATAAAATAGTTTAAGAAGAATATATATTCAATAAATCAATAAATCCTCTGGTTATAAATGTATGTAGATAAATATACATATTTGTGTAGGTGTTAATTATTCGACCAATAAATGATCTCATTTTATGAATCATCATAAAATAATCTTTAAAAACTATTTATCTAACTTGTTTACTAACTATTCTATTCTGAACTAATCCGATCTTAAAAGCAAATGAACATAAACTACTACTATTACTACTACTACTACTACTACTACTACTACTACTACTACTACTACTACTACTACTACTACTACTACTACTACTACTACTACTACTACTACTACTACTACTACTACTACTACTACTACTACTACTACTACTACTACTACTACTACTACTACTACTACTACTACTACTACTACTACTACTACTACTACTACTACTACTACTACTACTACTACTACTACTACTACTACTACTACTACTACTACTACTACTACTACTACTACTACTACTACTACTACTACTACTACTACTACTACTACTACTACTACTACTACTACTACTACTACTACTACTACTACTACTACTACTACTACTACTACTACTACTACTACTACTACTACTACTACTACTACTACTACTACTACTACTACTACTACTACTACTACTACTACTACTACTACTACTACTACTACTACTACTACTACTACTACTACTACTACTACTACTACTACTACTACTACTACTACTACTACTACTACTACTACTACTACTACTACTACTACTACTACTACTACTACTACTACTACTACTACTACTACTACTACTACTACTACTACTACTACTACTACTACTACTACTACTACTACTACTACTACTACTACTACTACTACTACTACTACTACTACTACTACTACTACTACTACTACTACTACTACTACTACTACTACTACTACTACTACTACTACTACTACTACTACTACTACTACTACTACTACTACTACTACTACTACTACTACTACTACTACTACTACTACTACTACTACTACTACTACTACTACTACTACTACTACTACTACTACTACTACTACTACTACTACTACTACTACTACTACTACTACTACTACTACTACTACTACTACTACTACTACTACTACTACTACTACTACTACTACTACTACTACTACTACTACTACTACTACTACTACTACTACTACTACTACTACTACTACTACTACTACTACTACTACTACTACTACTACTACTACTACTACTACTACTACTACTACTACTACTACTACTACTACTACTACTACTACTACTACTACTACTACTACTACTATACTACTACTACTACTACTACTACTACTACTACTACTACTACTACTACTACTACTACTACTACTACTACTACTACTACTACTACTACTACTACTACTACTACTACTACTACTACTACTACTACTACTACTACTACTACTACTACTACTACTACTACTACTACTACTACTACTACTACTACTACTACTACTACTACTACTACTACTACTACTACTACTACTACTACTACTACTACTACTACTACTACTACTACTACTACTACTACTACTACTACTACTACTACTACTACTACTACTACTACTACTACTACTACTACTACTACTACTACTACTACTACTACTACTACTACTACTACTACTACTACTACTACTACTACTACTACTACTACTACTACTACTACTACTACTACTACTACTACTACTACTACTACTACTACTACTACTACTACTACTACTACTACTACTACTACTACTACTACTACTACTACTACTACTACTACTACTACTACTACTACTACTACTACTACTACTACTACTACTACTACTACTACTACTACTACTACTACTACTACTACTACTACTACTACTACTACTACTACTACTACTACTACTACTACTACTACTACTACTACTACTACTACTACTACTACTACTACTACTACTACTACTACTACTACTACTACTACTACTACTACTACTACTACTACTACTACTACTACTACTACTACTACTACTACTACTACTACTACTACTACTACTACTACTACTACTACTACTACTACTACTACTACTACTACTACTACTACTACTACTACTACTACTACTACTACTACTACTACTACTACTACTACTACTACTACTACTACTACTACTACTACTACTACTACTACTACTACTACTACTACTACTACTACTACTACTACTACTACTACTACTACTACTACTACTACTACTACTACTACTACTACTACTACTACTACTACTACTACTACTACTACTACTACTACTACTACTACTACTACTACTACTACTACTACTACTACTACTACTACTACTACTACTACTACTACTACTACTACTACTACTACTACTACTACTACTACTACTACTACTACTACTACTACTACTACTACTACTACTACTACTACTACTACTACTACTACTACTACTACTACTACTACTACTACTACTACTACTACTACTACTACTACTACTACTACTACTACTACTACTACTACTACTACTACTACTACTACTACTACTACTACTACTACTACTACTACTACTACTACTACTACTACTACTACTACTACTACTACTACTACTACTACTACTACTACTACTACTACTACTACTACTACTACTACTACTACTACTACTACTACTACTACTACTACTACTACTACTACTACTACTACTACTACTACTACTACTACTACTACTACTACTACTACTACTACTACTACTACTACTACTACTACTACTACTACTACTACTACTACTACTACTACTACTACTACTACTACTACTACTACTACTACTACTACTACTACTACTACTACTACTACTACTACTACTACTACTACTACTACTACTACTACTACTACTACTACTACTACTACTACTACTACTACTACTACTACTACTACTACTACTACTACTACTACTACTACTACTACTACTACTACTACTACTACTACTACTACTACTACTACTACTACTACTACTACTACTACTACTACTACTACTACTACTACTACTACTACTACTACTACTACTACTACTACTACTACTACTACTACTACTACTACTACTACTACTACTACTACTACTACTACTACTACTACTACTACTACTACTACTACTACTACTACTACTACTACTACTACTACTACTACTACTACTACTACTACTACTACTACTACTACTACTACTACTACTACTACTACTACTACTACTACTACTACTACTACTACTACTACTACTACTACTACTACTACTACTACTACTACTACTACTACTACTACTACTACTACTACTACTACTACTACTACTACTACTACTACTACTACTACTACTACTACTACTACTACTACTACTACTACTACTACTACTACTACTACTACTACTACTACTACTACTACTACTACTACTACTACTACTACTACTACTACTACTACTACTACTACTACTACTACTACTACTACTACTACTACTACTACTACTACTACTACTACTACTACTACTACTACTACTACTACTACTACTACTACTACTACTACTACTACTACTACTACTACTACTACTACTACTACTACTACTACTACTACTACTACTACTACTACTACTACTACTACTACTACTACTACTACTACTACTACTACTACTACTACTACTACTACTACTACTACTACTACTACTACTACTACTACTACTACTACTACTACTACTACTACTACTACTACTACTATTATTATTATTATTATTATTATTATTATTATTATTATTATTATCATTGGTATTATTTGAGTAAATTATCAACTATTTAAAAAGAACGAGTACAATATCAGAGAAGGAAAAGGATAATGTTGCTAAATTTAATCTAATACAATGTCTATTTTGAGATTGTTATTCACTGATGATAATGGTGAACGGTGGCTTGAATTTGTAAATTGGTTGAAGTTAGACATTAACAGCGTTGGATACCAACCGGCTCAGTGGTCTAGATGTTAAGCGTTCATGCACGAGACTAATGAGTCCTGAGCTGGAATCCTGCGGGGCGAAGTGTTGTGGAGCGCACTGCGGAGGAATCCTATCATGGGAAGTAACGGCCATCCAATGCTTCCAGGTCTAGCTTCAATTGGCTCATGAATTCAATTATCAAATTACTAATATAACATCATTAAGTAGATAATTTATATTTGAAAATATATATACATTTATATTGCAAGGTCTAAGCGCTGACCATGAGAATCTAGCATGTATATATAGTTATTTATTACACAGGATAAGAAGCAACCTACTAATGGAAAAGAAACAGAGAAGGATTGATAAATGGTTATCTGTGGATTCAAAAGTAGAACAGTTTCAGCATCGAACAAGCGTATTTTCAAAGTTTCTGATTAGTTATTATATTGTTTTAAAGTCAAGTTTGCTCAAAAGCAATAGGATTCCAGATCCGTACGAGACCATTCAGTCGTTTATTCACAATTTATAGGTTTATATCTAACAGTTTTATCTAGTTAATTATAGAGCGTAGTCGTTATTCAGTATCATTGTTACACGTCAGTAGAATTTCCAATTGACTGAGCTTACAAGGTATGACATCTCAGTAGAACAAAGATATGAATTAATCTTCTTGAAATGTTTTGATTATGGGTATACGGTGCAACACTGCTTCACGCTCCAAATTTTCAAAAATTATACAGTTGACTTAAATTTATTATGAAAGTCATTTGTGATATGTCGCTTAAAGTTCGGTAAGTGAGCAACATATTATCGTAGAATGTGTTTGCTCAATATTTCCTCCTTCTTTTAAGCTCATGTATATTTTAGTATTGAAAGACTAACAACTATGTGGAGGAGCAGCTCACCAGCACTCTCCATCCAACTCTGTTCCAAGCAATCCTTTCCACTTCTTCCCAGTTCCTATTCATCCTTTTCATGTCTTCTAATTCTCGACACAACTTGTTCTTTGGCTTTCCACGTTTCCGTTTTACCTTCACGATTCCAAGTTAGAGCTTACCTAGTGATGCAGTTTGATGATTTCCGTAATGTGTGTCCCATCCACTTTTACGGACATTTCCTAATTTCTTCCACAGCTGGAAGCTGTTTTGTTCATTCCCGTAGTAGGCTGTTGTTAATGGTATCCAGTCAATGGGCATTGAGTGTCTTGGGTAGACAACTGTTTAGAAATACTCGTACGATTTTGATGTTTGATGGTTGTAGCAGTTCGCCGGGTTTCAGCTCCATACAGTAGAACTGTCTTGACGTTTATATTGAAGATTGTGTCTTTGATATTGGTTGGCAGTTGTTTTGAGTTGCATATATTCTTCAACTGTACGAATGCGGCCTTTCTTTTGCCAATCCTTGACTGTTCGTCTGTATCAGATCCTTTTCTTTCATCGATGATACTGTCCAGGTACGTAACTACTAGGAGTTATTTATGTACTGTTATTATATATATTGTCTATGTCTAAAATACTGGAATCATACAGTGGAAGCTGAGATTGTGTTGGGGATTCAAGGGGAAGGTATAGGCGAGAGGAATCAATCGGGTCAAAGTTGTATAATTCGGTATTCTGATTGGCGATTTATTCAAGTAATATATTGACGGGCATAAGAATTTAACACAAATGCTATCATCAAATACACAACCACAAACAAACAAGCAAACATACAAAAAGTAATAACAGTAAGCACAAAATGTAATTGACCCTTGTTAAAAAAATGCAAATTGTACATCGATACATCCACATAAAAATAATTTCATCGGTTATAATAACTGATTCATGAGGTATGAACAAAAAACATTTTGAACATGATTATTTGTTACGTATATTACAATATAATATATTCGACAATTAATTCACTATTCACATATTTTAATTCATAAATTTGTAATATTAAGTCAAATGATAGGTAGTCTTGTAGGAATTATTTACAACTAGAATAGATTTTTTTTTAAAAAGCAAGATGGTACTCTAAGAAGATCTATCTACAGGAAACCCATGTGGAATGGCCAACTATCAAATTTCTACAGCTGGGTTCCCATCAGTCGAAAAATAAACTTAATAATAACACTTGCCACAAGAATACGAAGAATCTGTAGTCCTGAAGTCATAGATGAAGAATTGGACCTCTTAAATGAGATACTTATCAAAATCGAGTATCCTTCGATATTCATTGATAAGAACATAAAACTGAAAACTCCGAAAACACAAATGATTACAGTAGAAAAGAAAACTTTATACATGAACATCGACTTCAAGGGTGACAAAACCACATACATCTTAAGGAGGAGAATTTCTGATGCTTTAAAAAGAATAATCTTTGCAGCAACATTGCGAATAGTATTCTCCAACCGATCATTGTTCTTTAATAATCTGAAAGATAAATTATCGCATCTGACCAACTCAATGTGCGTTTACCAATTTACCTGCTCTTGTGGAGCTAGGTATAAAGGTCGTTTGATGCGTACTTTATCCAAAAGAGTTCAAGAACATCATCCGGCGTGGCTAAAAAGAGGAGGCAACGGCTCAATAAGAAGTTCTATAATCGAACACCTTGTGAACACAGGCCATTCAATCAACACAGACTCTGCGTTCAAAGTTATTTACAAGGTAAGTAGAAGACAATTAGACTGCATCTTATTTGCATTGCCGAAGCAATAGCCATACATCTGGAAAAAACAGAATTGTATGTGCAAAAGAGACTGGTAAAACCTCTCCTTCTACCATGGTCCTAATGTATTGAATTTTTCCCTCTTTTTCATACTCTTGTTCCTTTACAGCCGTCTGCTTCACCTTAAATCCTTTACCTCCAACTGGTTTATTTTGTTTCCACGATCATTCTGATTACATTTAATATATAGTGCCCGCAGTGTTGAGTCACCTAGACTGGTGGCCACATTGCAACATGGTCGATAGCATTCGATCTGCACTAAATAAGGACTTGACACACATGACATTGATCACCACCCAGTGATCAACCAATTGTGATTACATCTCAGTCCTACAGGAGGTCAGTCGCGGCTTGGATAGCTCAGTGGTAACGTCTCTGACTGTGAGGCTGAGTGACGCGGGATCGGATCTGCCAAGGAGCACCAGTTCCCTCAAGATTAAAGGTACACCTTGCTGACGAGTGCCAAGTAGCACGAAACCCGAGTCCAGGGTTTCCTGTTGACTAACTCCAACCACCATCTAAATTAAACAGCTTTGAAAATGAATTCGCCGAAAAGAGAACTCTTCGCTGAACTAATCTTTCCTAGTTAAAAATCAATTTCACTTGTCTCTTAAAATTTTGATATTAACATTTGAAAAAGATAAAAACAAATATTAAAAAAAATTGGAAGAAAAAAACCCCTAATCAGAATCATTAAAATATTAAAAGTACACGTTTACATTATGAAATAAATGGCAAGATGATAATTTATGGACAAGTCAATTAGATTTTAGTTAGCAAGTCTTGGATTTTGGTTGAATACCATTTTGATATTATAGCTGATGTTAGTGTTAGGTATGCTGAGGAATATACCAATCATTATCATGTTAAGTCTAATGATGTCCTTGGACTCTAAATGGGCATTCCCTATTGGCCATTATTTATTTCACTCGTTAAATATTGTACAGATGTTGTTTTCTATTTTTATGGTACTATGTGGTCTGTTTGGTTGGTATATAAACAGAGTATGTTTGAAATATAACGGTTCATAACTCAGAGGCTGTGACTTGAGTTCTGGACTCAACTGACTGGGCTAGACAGCGGAGCGGGACCAATCGGGTCTCTAGGTCGTCCTTACGTGTTTTCCGTGTCACTGATTCGATCGATAAATACGCTGCGCATCTAACCTGCAGTCCACACGTTGCGACAGTTGGTTCGTAATGAAAGCCCTAAATTGAACTCCTAACCGTAACCATCAATTTTAAATCCTAATCTTCATTGCCTATACTAATCTAGAACTTTCATTTAAGATGGACACTCCAAGGTCATTTTAACGTTATTCAAATGTTGTTCATAAACTGTAATCTCACCAACTGAACTTCATTGAATATGGTGTGTAATAAAACATATAACTAATGTAAAATTTATACCGTTCAAAGTTTATCATAAACTTTGAAATATAATGAATTCATTTTATTCAGTAAATATTCCTCTTCTTACTTCAATGGATCAGAATGTATGGAATATTTCGATATTGTTCAGGTCAATAGTTGAATTGTGAAATATTCATTATTATTCTAGATAGTAATCTTTATGAAACAATAAAAATATATAACAAGTATTTATTTATTCTAATGAACTTGGTTTATAATTGGTTCTATTCATACATACTTTTATTTCTAGTGACTATTTTATTACGTTAAATGATTTGAATTATTTTTTTCTGATTAGCGCTAACCCAATAACCCTCCTCCATTATTCGGGCTTTGAACCGTTAATAGGCCAAGAGGGGTGCCAGGCGGAGGTTTTACTGCAGCATATTTGAAACTGAAGAACATTTGGAACTCAAAACAACTATCAAACAACACCAAAGTCAGAATCTTCTATACAAATGTCAAAACAGTTCTATTCTATAGAGAGGAATCTTGGAGAACCAATGAAGCCATCATTCAGAAAATACAAGTGTTTATTATCAGTTTTCTGTACAAAATACTTCAGATCCATTGGTCACACACTATCAGCAACAATCTACTGTGGGACAGAACAAACCAGATTTTAACGGAGTAAGAAATTAGGAAGAAGCACCGAAAGTGAATAGGATACACATTGATGAAAACACCCAACTGCGTCACGAGGCAATCCCTCACTTGAAATCCTCAAGGCTAAACAAAGGAGGGGAGGAAGACCAAAGAACACATTACATCGAGAAATGGAGGCAGACGTGAGATGAATGAACAAGAGTTGTATAGAAGTAGAAAGAAAGGCCCATGACAGAGTGAGTTGTAGAATGCTGGTCGGCGGCCTATACTCCATTTGGAGTAACAGGTGTAAGTAAGTAGTTTTATTAAGTTAACTTCTCATTATATGAGGTTACCATACAAAATGATGATAAAACGTTGAATGCATTAAATTATTGCTTGAACCAAAAGCTTTCTATATTAATATTAAAATGTGAATAATCATTTAATGGATGGTTAAAGAAAAGATTTCTACTTGTCTACATATCTGTTACTTCTTGATACTTAACTAGAATCAGTTCATGGTGTAAACTATTACAAGAAAATTTATTAATCGCTAGCGTAGTATCGGTTACTATGTTAAGCCCATATAACTTATTCTAGCTTCTGGACAAACTAATTTATCCATTCTTCTTGAGTCACGTTTTGACCTTGTTAATTATTCACTTACTAACCTTGATTGTTTTTTTATGTAAGTGTATGTGTGTATACATGTCTTATTCTATTCATCATATATCTGTAACCTACTTTTGTCTGGCTATAAATAATGATTAACGCTTAACTAAATTGAGTTGGTTCACATGCCTTCTCCACTTCACGTCGTTTCACTTTGCTCTGTTCTCTTCGCTTCTCCGGTCTTTTGTCTGGATCCGCAGTTGTATGAAATATACATATTCGAAATTCATTCTCGTATTTGACTTATTTAAT